TACAAATACAGACTTCAGTTTGCATGTTTGTGGGTGTCTGTCTGGGTAGAGAATCCAGTAGAGATGGAAGGGGGCTTCCCATTGTTCAGCCTGCTTTGTTGGAAATAAGAGTAGATCCAATGGGAACAATTAAGGAGACAGATGTAGGCTAGAGTTTGTCTTGGAATGGCTTACCATTAACGATTGGAGTGCCAAGTTTGAGAGTGCTGGGGAGGGGCACACTAGGGGTATTTGTTGCTGATAGACACAATACCTCTGGTTGGGTTTGATGTGGAGCTCTTACTAGACAGCAATGATGTTGGCTGGAGTTGGTGGGAGAAGGCGGTACAAAACAGAATAATAGAGTTGAAAAGGACCATTGAGGTCTTCTAGTCCAACCCCCTGCCTATGGCAAGAGATTCTATATACCATTCTGGATAAATGGCTGTCCAGTCTCTTCTTGAAAAACTCTAGTGACGGAGCACATCCAAGTTGTCCCATTGTCAGGAAATTTCTCCTTAGCTCTAGGTTAGATCTCTCTTTAATGATCTTCCAACCATTACTTCTCACCCTGCCCCCATGTGCTTTGGAAAATAAGTTGACCCCCTCTTCTCAGTGAGAGCCTCTCAAGTACTGGAAGACTGCTATCATATTACCTCTAGTTATTCTCTTCATTAAACTAAAGATACTGTACCTAGTTCTGTCAATCATTCATCATGTGGTTTAGCCTTTTTTTTATTATCCTTGATAGCCCTAATCTCCAGCTACTGCTATTAAATGTCAGTTTGGTATGACTTGATTGGGAAGAAATTCAACCAACTTGGCTAGCATAACTAAGATCTGGAGAGGCTGGGTGGGGGAAGGTATGCAGATTTTGCATTTGGCATCAGCTGTAAATGTAGGGAAGGAAGGATGGGACATTTGGGGGATTTGTGCTAGATAAACAGAGGCTCTAGCTGAAATGGAGTCCTTGGGAACAGTTCAATTTGTTGCTACCTTGCTGGCTTCCCTATACACAGCAACATTTCTACCTGAGCTGCTAAACTACATAGCTGATAGCAGTAGCTTTGAGGATTAACATGTCTCTGGATAATGTTGGGCTTGGGTTGCTCAGGACCATGCCCACTATGATAAACAGAGACAAAATTATTGAAGGACCATGTTTAAGATTACACATTAGTTCTGGTTTTTTTTTAAATCTCAGGGCAGTTCTAATATGATCTGAAGGTAAAAGATATTACCATTAGTTCTTTGTCATACTCAGGTCCCATTCTGTTCACTTTTCTGCTTCTCCACATGAACTTGCAGGAAAGTAAAACCTATTAGATGAGTCTGACCAAGGAAGATTTGAAGATAACTCTTGGTTGTTTTTTTTCTGAGGATCTGATGGGCTCTTCACCTGAGGTATGGTTTTCTGAGCAGAATTGGCAGTGACAAGGGTCTTGGACCAGATTACTTTTATATGGCCTCTGTCTATGTATCCATCTTTGAGAGTTGAAACATCTGAAGAGATTACTAGAATGCCACTGGAGGAAAAGTAAATCCAACCGAGTCTGTGTTAAGAGTTCATGTTAGAGATTATATCATGCTGATAATACTGGTGAAACAGTTATTTTAACTCTTATCCATCCACTAATAACCAACCAGCAATCCTTTATCTAGTGATCCACTTCTTGAAGGGCAGGGATGAGCATTAGGATCATCAATGAGTCCAATTATCTAGCAGATAAAGTTACTCAGATTTAATTGGAGTAAAATGATAACAAGAGATGAAAATGATTTTTTTTTAGTTCTGTACAGATGTAAAATGTCAACATTTAAAATCTATCTAGAACTAAACAGCAAGCCTACTCTAAGAAAAAATATATATCTCAGTGCTCTGTTTAAAGGTGAATTACACAGGTCCCTTTGTTAAATTGATGATTTTCTAATAACAAGTCTTAAACCCATTATTGCATGACTTTAGTTATTTATTATGATTTGGAGTTTTATTGATTATGATTTTAAAACCGGATGCATGCTTTTTTTTTGTTTTTTTTATTACCTTAAATTTAGTATTGTTTTCATTATTACCTCGAATGTGGCTTAAACCTTAATATGTAGCTTAAAATGTGTGTCACAAAACAGAGACTGAAAATTAAAAAGCTAACTATCTGGCAATTCCTTTTTTACTATGTCCAACATGAACCTGATTTATATTAAAGGTCAACAGAAACTACCCTGGAAGCTGGCAGAACACTATAGCTGCAGTTCAGTTAATAATTCTGCAAATGTTTCCTTTTCCATAAGTGGGCAGCTGCCAGTTTGTTTCTCTAGAAAGCAGCACAGCTGGCAATATGTTTTTTCATCTCTTTCTACTAGCACAGCTTTATTAAATAAAGTAAACTGGAAATAAGTCATACACCTCAGAAAAGGGCGGGGGGAACCTTGCTTTATTGACATGATTTGTGTTAACTGAAATAGAAGTGATAAAAACTGTCATTTTGGCTATAAAGAGATATGTGAAATGGGAAATGCAATGCATTGGCAAAGTTGCAAAAAAATTATAAAAGTACAGGAAGGCTTATGAAAAGAATATAAGAAAAATAAGAAGCATGCCTGCAAAGACCTAATCTAACTAGTTGCTATTCTAATTGTGGCATACTTAATTATCTGAATATGGAAAATATTACACTGGCTTGTATCAGTTAAATGACTAAAAAGGAAAACTCCTGTGGTAACCTCAATATACAGACAAATTGGAAGACAGTTTTCTCTCCTTGCATTAGCTCTCTTTTCAGTTTCATTCTTTTCCATACATAATAATAATTAGTTCTTCATATTCATGGATTCCCTTGTTTATATTGTATTTACAGTAGCTTTTAAAAATCCTGGCTCTAAAATAACTAAAGTCACTAGCTTCACATCATTCTGCTGAAGAAATGACTAAAAAATCTGTCATTCAGTTATAACATTTTTTTCTCTCTCTCTCAATTTAAAAGGCATTGTGGAGTTGCTCTCTTTCAATTCTCTATTCAATGCAGAAATTACAATATTGGATGCAAATAGCAGCCTGGTTCCATTAAAATATCTCCAGACAAAGAAAGGCCAATATCTCTCCATATCTACCAATAAAGAAACAGACAATAATGGAATATGCACAGACTATCACTTGGTGGAGTAGCCATGAAGGTCTTAGAAAAAGTATTCAGATGCTACAATGTGCTTATAACTACAAAAGGTCAGAACCCTAAGGAAGTGAAAGTTAGTCTTTGAATAAGCAACATATGAAGAATATTGATAATGTTGAAATTCTGTGTCAAAGAATACCCTTGACAGCTAAGAAAAACAAATGGATCATTGAACAAGTCAAAAGTTTTGAGGCACAAATGATCCAGCTCATACTTCAGACACATTATGTGAAGAGCCAGTTCTCAGGAGAAGGCTTTAATGTTGGGAAAGGTGGAAGGGGAGAAGAAAACAACCAACGGGAAAATGGTCAGTTACTGTGGTGATGGTTTTACCATTGTAAGACATGAAGGACAAGGTTAGAGACAGATCATCATACATAAACAATCTATGTGGCTGCTAAGTATTGACACCAATATGATGACACATAATCTATTTCCCTATTCTTCTTATGGAGTTTCTTCTAAAGTTTTTCTGGAATGTGCTTTTCTGAAGTTCTAGTTCTTATTTTCCTTTTTGTTTTTCTTTTAAACCACCATGTCTTTCTTTAGCTTTTCTTGTTCAAACTAAGTCCAGGATTTTCATTTATTTCTCCTAAGACTGGGTTCTAGATCCTTTAAGATTTTGTGTAACTGAGTAAACAAGGAAAAGAACATAGATGTGTATGCAAGTCTGAATCAAAACATTCTGAAAAGTATATGTAAAATTATTTGTAAACATGTTCAGCTAAATGTACGTATATATTTCCAGTTAGGAGCTCTGCAGCAAAACACATAAGTGAAAGTGTTAAATAAAATAATATAATAGCAACATCAGACGCTTGAGAATTTTGGTTGTTTGTTTTTTACTTGACAAAACAAAAAAAACTTACAGGACAAAACATTTACTTGACAAAACAAAAAGAATTTACAGTAAAGTATATTATGCCTTATCATCAATCATGCACAAGTAAAAGGGACAAAGCAGCAGAAAATATGATTCAGAATAATTTTTAAGCTATGAGCCTGAATATAACTTATCCAGAACAAGGTGACACTTTAAAATGAACAAACAAACAAACAAACAAACAAACAAACAAACAAACAAACTGTTTTATCCAAACTCATGCAGCAAATTTTTCCAGAACAATTAATTAAAAATCCTGGAAGTCAGTATTAAAAGTAGGGCAAGAGATATTCAGAGTTGTGCATTTTGTTCATAACTAGACTTCTAATATATCTTGAATCTTTCAGGTTATCAATTTCTTCCTTCTGTTCTAAAATCAGCATAATAAATTAGATTACCACAATCACTCTCTTAAAAACAAGGGAAAATATTATCATAAGTTTAGTTGCAAAAATTCATATCAGAGTTTCATTTTTGGCTGTTTATATTACATATTCAAATTAATTATTATATAAGGAATCCAAAAAATATTTAAAAAGTATATATGGTAAAAACGCATTTGTATATATTGTGCTGAGCATTACAACACACTAGAATAGTATTAGAATGTTTAAGACTATTTATAATTGCATATTTATCTCACAAAACTACCAATCCACTTGTTTGAAACATATATGCAAACTAATGTATTCATTCTAGAATAATGAAGCTAATGAAATATAAATGAAAATGTTGTATATATGGCTGTAGCTATAAATGACTTGCAATCTGACTTGATAAAGGCTCATACTGTTAAAAATCTTCAGCAAAATTGTTCATCCATTTCTGTCAAAAGCACTATATATTAATAAATAATACTATCCCCATTAAGCTAATGTTTAAATATTTAACTCTTTATAAACACCACTTTAATTAAAACAGCAGATACTAATTCACAATGGGAAATATGATCTATTGATAATAATTACCTGTGGACATAATGTAGTTGATGTACAGAATCAATTGCTACCACCATTTCAGCTAAATAAAAGCGAGCCATTTCTTCAGGTAACCGATCCTCAAACTTACTGAGCAAGGTGAGCAGATCTCCACCAACATAATAATCCATAACGAGGTACTAGGAATATAGAAAACAATTTTGATAGAAATATAAATATGCGCTAAATATAACAAATCGCGTAAGACCAAGAGCTGCTTTCTCAGTATGATTAGGGCAGGGTAAATCTTCTGGAAATAGATTCTTTGTATATCTTCCATTATATAACACCTCTTTCAAAACCTTTGCTCAGCCCCAATANCCTGAGCTCCTTACCAGTCTTTTAAGTCTTGAGCACTTCCATTCACTTGCACAGCATATACAGCGCCTGCGCAACACTCTGTTGAGCAGCTGTAGTGTCGCTGAGGCACTAAGATGCATGCGCGTGCTGCACGCGTCCATGTAGACGCTGCCGCCCAGTTCCAAATGTACAGGTTGGAACGGGATCCGGAACCCACCATTTATATATATTGCAAATTGCTCCTGGAAGCACCAAGCCTAAAGAAGCCTGAAGATGACGAATGAGAAACGTCGAAACGTCACCAAGACATCTCCAATTTTACGCGGGAGAAAACCCGAATAACTAGAGACCTACATACTAACACCCTAAGGAGAAATGCAAACATTTTTTAAAAAAAATCATAATCAACATTTCTCTTCAAAATATTCATTTATATATTTGATCAATAACCTGTTCAGGAAATCATTGCTGATATAACTAATAAATGATTGCTAGGTCTGAATAGATTTATTATAGAACTTTTCAAAGTTCTTGTGTCAAGTTTTCAGTCAAAATTATTTCCCATAATTAATTCTGATTCAAAGAAAGACACATTTTACTTTTCCAAAGTTTTCTAGGAACAAACGTGACAGCTAAAAGCAGGGGATACCAAGACTATAGGTAAGACTAGAAAGTTGAAAAAATGTCAAGGAAGAAGTCCAGGATGAAAGAAGTTAAGCACCATAGAAGACAAGCACCATTTCTGTAGATGGTCAGGAAAGCAATATAGATCTATCTGTGACATCATCATGAGTCAAGATTTGTTCAAAATGCACTTGTCATTCAGGTGCAGAAAGAGATAGAGAATTCCATAAACATGGACCTCAAAGAATAGCAGGAGTATATTTGAGCATTTTCATTATTACACATGAGTGGGTGCGTACTAGGGAATGGGCAGAAGCTGAAATTTAGACTCCTTAATAATCAACATATGTTCAGGAATCTCCATTTCTCCTTTGCCCTTGGAATAAATAGAGCTTGTGATGTGACAGGTGGGGAAGGCAAAGAGCATATATTGTTGAAATAGATCGATGCTGATCTTTGACTCAATGCCAGGAATCTACTAAGGTCCAGAAATTAAAGTAAATGATCAATATGACATTCATCCATCATAAAGCATCATCTGTCCATGGATATCATATTCACTCAAATTCTTTATGACAGCTCCATAATAAAACATGTGCACTATCCATGTGCAAGGACCCCATTTTAACTCTACATGTAGATTTAATCCAGTGAAAGAAGTGGAATAGTAGTTAAGGACTAGGGGATCTATGTTCAAATCTATTCTTAACTAAGGAAAATAACTGAATGAGTTTAGATCATTCCTTCTCTCAGAGCAATTGACCTCACAGGAGGATTGTTTTGAGGATAAAAATGGACACACACACACACACACACACACACACACACACCATGACCCACCTTGAGCTTTTCTACAGCAGTGTTTTTCAACCTTTTTTGTGCAAAGGCACACTTTTTTCATGAAAAAA